AAATATGCAATTATTTGTTATTAAACATAATTTAAACAATATTATTATTAATTATAAAAATAAAATTTTAATTATTAAAAAATATATTTGCATTATAAGATTATTTTTCAAAAATACTTAAAGGATTTTTTTTTTTACAAAAAATCCTAAAATTTAAATCTTATCACTTTCTCATATATTTTAAAATAAATTTTTGCAATATCATCATAAACAGATAAAGCATAAAATAGTATTTTTTTCTTAATCAAAGAAAATTGAAGGAAAATTTCTAGTTATTAATCTCAGCATAAGATGGGAGCTTAACTTCTTCATTAAAGCCTAATTCTTTACTTTAGTTATCTAATAATTGATTATTTTTGGGCTAGAATTAAGACAAGTGTTTAGATATGTTTGTATATTTCCAGCTACTAAAAACTTAATATACAATAAAGCATAGCCAAACAAAAACCTGTAATTTTTTGTGACAAACTTTATTCAATATTCTTTCAACTTTTTTAATTTTATTTCCTTCTTTTTGAATTTAACAAACAGAAATAGTATTTGATTTTTATATGAAAACTGTAAATTATCCTAATATTTCTAACAAATATTGGATTTTCTGAATTTTTCCATTTTCTATATAAACAAATCACAATTGACAATCAGTTTTAATATAATTAACAAGTCATTTTATTATTAAAATTAAACTATTATTTATTATTATAAAGTTAGAGAAAAAAGTGATACTTTCTATAAATACTGTATATAATTATTAAAAATAATACTTTGTACTTAACTGTTTTTGTGAATTTTAATTACTATGTAGAAAATATAGCAGATTCCTTATTGTGTTATCATTTTTTAAATTAAAAAATCAATTAAATTGAAATTTCTTTAAATAATTTAAATGTGGATAATAAGTAATTCAGTCTTTGGAAATAATTCAAAGACCAACTTATTTCAAAGTGATAACTAAATAAATACATTTTATTTATTTTTCAAATTTTTTCAATCAAGTTAAAAATTTTCATAAATAAATTACTGAATGCAACTTACTTTTAATAGAAGTCTTGTTCGTTGATTCTGATTGGATGTTAGACCAAGTAAGCCTTCCGTATCTATCACGACAACATTTAAGACAGAATCGTAAGCAGCCCACATCCCAATTGTACAAGAACTTTGAGCAGCTGATGTTTTGAATATTTCTCTTCCATTAAAAAATGTGTTATTTAATGTAAAAGATTTACCTTCTCCTGTATTACCAAATATAGATGTAACTTTTACAGGAGTTTGACCATTACATCCCAATTTTTGTATAAATGCTTCTTCACTTGAAACCTATTTTTAAAATAATTTCATTAAATTTCACTATTAATTAAATAATAATTTTTTATATTTATTCTTTAATTAATTAATTAAATATCAATCTTCACTCTCTCAAACTGGTTAGCAATGTTAAAATTTTAAATTAACTTATAAGTTATAATATTGATTTAGATAAATGAACATTTATTCTAAGTAAACTTTCTCATGTTTGCATTAGGATGATTGAATTAACCTATAATTAAATTGAATTTATTACTATATACATCCATTTCTTAGTTTTAATGTTATTTATGTAGTGTACTATTTATTCTGTTATAAGCAAAACATTAAGATATATAAATGCCTGTTTGATTATTTAAAAATTTTATAAATGCATAGCTATGATGCATGCATATACAGTATATTGTTTAGATGTGTTTTAAATTCATTATTTTATTTATAGAATGTATAAACATGAAAATGATAATGTTTTTGGTTTTACAATAAATTAATTGCTGGTGATTATAAATTTTGATGTCCTTCAACGTAGCATATTTGATACTAATTAGTAGCTAATTTTATATTTTAACTTTATCAGAAAAATAAAATTTTCTGCAGAATTAACTTTTCTTAAGTATCCATTATTTAACAATAACAGTTTAATAACTGTTATTTAATTTTAAAAATATGATTAAAAATATATACCAATTAATCTTTTATTCCAATTAAAATATTTTATTTTAATTGGAATAAAAATTTTTCTTAAAAACAGATCCACATATTTATATAACTTAAAAAAATTTAAATATTTTTATACTTTTTCCAACATTTTACATATGAATTCTGAAGATAAAAGTATAGAGCTTTAAAAAAAATTCAATTTAATAAATTCTTTAACTTCTTCATACAAAGTTTTCTTTTTAATGCATATACAGATATTCCTTGTATAACATGGTAGTTACTTTGTGAAAAAGTGCAGTATTATGCGAATCTGTGCTATATGTAACAAATAACCAGTGCAAAACACAGGGTTACATTCCAGAAGTTAGCAAAAGTATACTACTGTATACTTTTTTATTACTAAGAGAAATATCAATAATTTATTTCCAATCATTAATTAACTAACAATTCCAATTAAAAGTACTATATTATGCATTAATATTAATTTTAGTTAAACCAGGGCATTTTCTTTACAAAGTATCATTGTTGTCTCAGCTTTTTTGTCAATCTTGATCAGAAGTATAAGCGACATTTATAATTTATTATTTTTTTCATAAAAATTTTGTTATGGATGATAAAATAAAAATATGCTACTAATCAAAAATTTGTTCTAGGGTGCCCTTGTTTGTTCAGTCGAGTACCAAGCAATTTTTTGCCAGAATTTGTGTTCAAATACCAAATTGTTTGAGTACTGAGACACAGTTGTATTTCATTTGTCATTTTTTATGAGTGAAGTAATCATTAGAAGGTGAGTAATATCTACAATTAAAAAAAAGTTTAATAACACTTACCTAAAAATATTTATATAAACTTTACTAAATACAAAAATTAATCCATAAAAACAAAACACAGTGACAGTCTTAAATGCTAATGTCTGAAAGCAATGTCAATAATACTTGGTTGACAGGAAAGTTAAGACTAGAAGAAAAAATTGTACTATCAGTTTTCNTTTTTTTTTAACAAAAAATCCTAAAATTTAAATCTTATCACTTTCTCATATATTTTAAAATAAATTTTTGCAATATCATCATAAACAGATAAAGCATAAAATAGTATTTTTTTCTTAATCAAAGAAAATTGAAGGAAAATTTCTAGTTATTAATCTCAGCATAAGATGGGAGCTTAACTTCTTCATTAAAGCCTAATTCTTTACTTTAGTTATCTAATAATTGATTATTTTTGGGCTAGAATTAAGACAAGTGTTTAGATATGTTTGTATATTTCCAGCTACTAAAAACTTAATATACAATAAAGCATAGCCAAACAAAAACCTGTAATTTTTTGTGACAAACTTTATTCAATATTCTTTCAACTTTTTTAATTTTATTTCCTTCTTTTTGAATTTAACAAACAGAAATAGTATTTGATTTTTATATGAAAACTGTAAATTATCCTAATATTTCTAACAAATATTGGATTTTCTGAATTTTTCCATTTTCTATATAAACAAATCACAATTGACAATCAGTTTTAATATAATTAACAAGTCATTTTATTATTAAAATTAAACTATTATTTATTATTATAAAGTTAGAGAAAAAAGTGATACTTTCTATAAATACTGTATATAATTATTAAAAATAATACTTTGTACTTAACTGTTTTTGTGAATTTTAATTACTATGTAGAAAATATAGCAGATTCCTTATTGTGTTATCATTTTTTAAATTAAAAAATCAATTAAATTGAAATTTCTTTAAATAATTTAAATGTGGATAATAAGTAATTCAGTCTTTGGAAATAATTCAAAGACCAACTTATTTCAAAGTGATAACTAAATAAATACATTTTATTTATTTTTCAAATTTTTTCAATCAAGTTAAAAATTTTCATAAATAAATTACTGAATGCAACTTACTTTTAATAGAAGTCTTGTTCGTTGATTCTGATTGGATGTTAGACCAAGTAAGCCTTCCGTATCTATCACGACAACATTTAAGACAGAATCGTAAGCAGCCCACATCCCAATTGTACAAGAACTTTGAGCAGCTGATGTTTTGAATATTTCTCTTCCATTAAAAAATGTGTTATTTAATGTAAAAGATTTACCTTCTCCTGTATTACCAAATATAGATGTAACTTTTACAGGAGTTTGACCATTACATCCCAATTTTTGTATAAATGCTTCTTCACTTGAAACCTATTTTTAAAATAATTTCATTAAATTTCACTATTAATTAAATAATAATTTTTTATATTTATTCTTTAATTAATTAATTAAATATCAATCTTCACTCTCTCAAACTGGTTAGCAATGTTAAAATTTTAAATTAACTTATAAGTTATAATATTGATTTAGATAAATGAACATTTATTCTAAGTAAACTTTCTCATGTTTGCATTAGGATGATTGAATTAACCTATAATTAAATTGAATTTATTACTATATACATCCATTTCTTAGTTTTAATGTTATTTATGTAGTGTACTATTTATTCTGTTATAAGCAAAACATTAAGATATATAAATGCCTGTTTGATTATTTAAAAATTTTATAAATGCATAGCTATGATGCATGCATATACAGTATATTGTTTAGATGTGTTTTAAATTCATTATTTTATTTATAGAATGTATAAACATGAAAATGATAATGTTTTTGGTTTTACAATAAATTAATTGCTGGTGATTATAAATTTTGATGTCCTTCAACGTAGCATATTTGATACTAATTAGTAGCTAATTTTATATTTTAACTTTATCAGAAAAATAAAATTTTCTGCAGAATTAACTTTTCTTAAGTATCCATTATTTAACAATAACAGTTTAATAACTGTTATTTAATTTTAAAAATATGATTAAAAATATATACCAATTAATCTTTTATTCCAATTAAAATATTTTATTTTAATTGGAATAAAAATTTTTCTTAAAAACAGATCCACATATTTATATAACTTAAAAAAATTTAAATATTTTTATACTTTTTCCAACATTTTACATATGAATTCTGAAGATAAAAGTATAGAGCTTTAAAAAAAATTCAATTTAATAAATTCTTTAACTTCTTCATACAAAGTTTTCTTTTTAATGCATATACAGATATTCCTTGTATAACATGGTAGTTACTTTGTGAAAAAGTGCAGTATTATGCGAATCTGTGCTATATGTAACAAATAACCAGTGCAAAACACAGGGTTACATTCCAGAAGTTAGCAAAAGTATACTACTGTATACTTTTTTATTACTAAGAGAAATATCAATAATTTATTTCCAATCATTAATTAACTAACAATTCCAATTAAAAGTACTATATTATGCATTAATATTAATTTTAGTTAAACCAGGGCATTTTCTTTACAAAGTATCATTGTTGTCTCAGCTTTTTTGTCAATCTTGATCAGAAGTATAAGCGACATTTATAATTTATTATTTTTTTCATAAAAATTTTGTTATGGATGATAAAATAAAAATATGCTACTAATCAAAAATTTGTTCTAGGGTGCCCTTGTTTGTTCAGTCGAGTACCAAGCAATTTTTTGCCAGAATTTGTGTTCAAATACCAAATTGTTTGAGTACTGAGACACAGTTGTATTTCATTTGTCATTTTTTATGAGTGAAGTAATCATTAGAAGGTGAGTAATATCTACAATTAAAAAAAAGTTTAATAACACTTACCTAAAAATATTTATATAAACTTTACTAAATACAAAAATTAATCCATAAAAACAAAACACAGTGACGGTCTTAAATGCTAATGTCTGAAAGCAATGTCAATAATACTTGGTTGACAGGAAAGTTAAGACTAGAAGAAAAAATTGTACTATCAGTTTTCATTAAAGTAAACCTGATAAAAGGAACAAATTGAAAATTTCTAAAATATTCTAAAATCCATGGGCAAATTTGAGATAACACATATGCTTACTTGAATATTGAATAACAGAGTTTGCACTTAAAAATTGTGAAATTCTATATGGATGATTTCCCAAATTTTCAAACAGTGTTACAGTGGTGCCCGCAGACTATAAAAAAGGATGGGGCACAAGCTATAAAATAAGCATCATACATACATTATATAAAATATACAGTAAATATATACATGTATCCCTTGATTAATGCAGTTAATTCCTTAATGCTACTGCATATATCAAAATCACATTAATCAAATACAGTGGTACCTTGGTATTTGATCAAACAATCACAACCCACTAGAACAAATTTTTGGTTAATAACAAATATTTTAATTTTAATTTTGTCATCAGTAAAAAAGTTTTCTGTGATAAAAATGAGTAGCTAATTTTAACATAAAATAAAACCTTATTGTTCCCTTACAGATTAAGAAAAGGGCAACCCAACAACAAAGGAGTTGGCATGTGCCCCAAGTACCCCAAAGTGTGGACATCCTTGCCATGTTAGAGCAAAACTGGAAACTGTGTTGTATGGGGGGAACACATCCCCCATTTTCCAATCATGTTGTAGAAGCATCATGTTGTACGAGAGATGTCTGTATCTATTTTCATATACACTATGGAATGACAATTTTAAATAAGTTATAAAGCATTGATAAAGTTATATACATTACTTGTAAAATTTCATTTTCATCTACTAATAGAAAACTTTTAATTTCTCTAAGTTTATTATTTTCCATTTTGTTATCCAAAATAATGGCAGCTTCATCGTCATTTGAATATTTTGCCTCTACAGATGAGAAAGCCACATCTGGCAGACTTCCGTAGGGCTGAGAACTGAAAGACATCATCATGTAATTATCTTCTGAAAATAATTTTTCATTTGAACACTTTAAAA